GAATTTTACAAATTCAAGGAATTTTAAATTCTTGGTATTTGAATTACTTTGATTTCAATTTCTATCATTCTTAAAATATTTTGTTTGGATAAGTCAATTCAAATTTATCAAATTTTAAATTATTAGGTTGGATATGATAATTTGATTCCACCATGGTAAAATTGATTTTAAAAATATATTTATATGTTGAGAATTTTTAAATTAAATTTTATAAAAATAAATATTAGCAAATTTTTAAATATTTAATAATTTTAAAAAATTAATATTATATAATATTTAATAATCTTAAAAATATTTTTGAATATTTAATAATTAAAAACATGAAGAGATAAGATAAAATATATAAGTGAAATAAGAAGAAAAAAATATGAGAAATTTCAAATTCTTACTTTTTTGGGAGAATTTGAAATTCTACTATTTTAAGGAATTTCACAAATACTTGAATTTCAAATTTCTTATAAATTCTCCATCCAAACAAGGTATTTCATTTCAAAGAATTTGAAATTCTTCAAATAAATGAATTACTCCATTTAAATTCCCCATCCAAACACACTATTAAGTTATAGGTAATCCACTGTTAATGACCTAGTGGTGACAATTTTTGAGAATATACATAAGATTATAAGTTTTAAATTCAGTGTTGTCATTGTAAAATAAAAAATCATATACAACATTATTTCTAATTAAAGAATAAAAATATTTGCACTATAGAAAATGTATAAAAATTAAAATCATATAATATTACTAGCTATAAGCAAATAAAAAAATATATTTTTTTCAATTTGGTCGTTGTCAAACACGATATTTTGTTGTGGTAATGCAACACTTGCTCAGACTTTAAAGCTTAAAACAATTTACTTCTCATATTCAAAATTATCATTCAAACTTGAGAGATCATATCTTTGCGACTATAATAAAAAAATAGTATATACATACCTACTACCTTCAAAAATACTTTAAACGTATAACCTTAAAAAGGATAATACAATTAATAATAATTTGGTAATTTCGTGAGGAACCTGTAAAGTCCAATTTGACAACAAAAATGACTCCTCACAAATTTAACGAGCTAGGTGGGTTGACTGAATGGGGGATATAAGAAACAAAGAAAATGAAGGGAAAATGAACATGAAAGGTGACATTGAAAGCCTATTTTTACACGTTATTTGAATCGTTCCAAGAGAACTGAATTGAATAATATTATTAGGGTTGTCAAACTCGTGGAGGCAGAAGTTGGGTTCAAGCTTAAGGGACCAAAGACTATATCTCTCATATATTTTCCTTATCTGACTGTCATATACTTTTATATAAGAGCATCTACAATGGGGTTGCTTATAAGTAACTCCACTAGCACATCAGCTCTAACCCACTTTATGAGTTGCTTAAATTTTAGTAAAGTTGTTTGTGAAACAACTTTGCTAAAATTTAAGCAACCCATAAAGTGGGTTAGAGCTGATGTGACAGTGATGTAGTACAATGATTGCTTATAAGTAACCTTCATTGCAGATACTCTAAGAATGTTAAATCAACATTGTCCTCTGACAAAAGATCCACATAATACTCTCACATTCGATCTTATCTATATTAAAATAATATTTAATAAATAAAAATTATATCCCATAAATACATACCATAAATACATATTAATTCTTTATTATTAACTTTAAAATACTATGTGATAATTAACATAAAATATATAAGACCGTTAAAGTTACAAATTTTGGCGTGACCATGGTGACTCCGCCGCGTTAGTTGTCTATATATTTTACTAAAAGTATAAAATTGAAGTTAAAAAATATCATAGAAGCTCATCACTGATGCAATTAAGAAAATTATACCAACTATCTTAAAATACATTCTTAATTGAATAAATAAGCATGTTTGGAATAGTTAAACCATCCCATAATTATTTATCCAACGGGGTGATCAGTTTTAAGAAGCCTCCTTCTATTTGTTTGTGAGAGCAAACTAAATTCTGATTTGCACGCGATAGATAGACCCGTTGACTTTAAGAAGGAAGTGTTTCAGTAATGTGTTTCAGACACCGTGCAAACTTGTTCTTTGTTCTGTTCATACTTTGTCGTTATGTGTTGGACGTTGGTATTGCCATAGACAGCATCACATCATCGCAATCCATGAAGGACCCTGATACTCTAAGTTCCAAAGATGGCAACTTCACGTTGGGATTCTTCACCCCTCAAAACTCCACAAAACGCTACGTTGGAATTTGGTGGAAGTCTGAGTCTACAGTCATATGGGTTGCTAACAGAGACCAACCACTGAATGATTCTTCTGGAGTTGTTACAATTTCTGAAGATAGCAATCTTGTGGTGCTGAATGGACAGAAACAAGTTATTTGGTCAACGAATGTGTCCAACATAACATCCAACACAAGTTCCCAGTTTTCAGACTCTGGTAAGCTCGTTCTCACAGAAACCACAAGGGGAACCATCTTATGGGATAGTTTTCAGCAACCTTCAAATTCATTATTGCCAAGCATGAAACTTTCACTCAATATAGTAACAGGTGAGAAAGTAGAACTTACATCATGGAAAAGCCCTTCTAATCCTTCCGTTGGAACCTTCTCTTTTAGTGTTGTTCAACGCATAAATATAGTTGAAGTGTTCATTTGGAATGAAACTCGACCATTCTGGCGCAGTGGTCCATGGAGTGGTGGGGTATTTAGAGGGATACCAACGATGTCAACATATTTTGATGGTTTCAAAGGTGGTGATGATGGAGTGGGGAATGCAAATATCTATTACACAGTGCCAACAGATACAGAATTTGTAGTCTATATATTGAATTCGCAAGGCCGATTTGAACAAACTTGGTGGGATGATGAGAAGAAAGGAATGGAAGTTACGTGGACCAGTCGAAAATCCGATTGTGATGTTTATGGTATGTGTGGACCTTTTGCAAGTTGTAATTCACAGAGGTCACCAATATGTAGCTGTTTGAAAGGGTTTGAACCAAGGAACAAAGAGGAGTGGAGTAGACAGAACTGGACTAGTGGATGTGTTAGGAGAACACGGTTGAAGTGTGAAAGGGTCAAAGATCAGAACACAAGTATAGATACAAAGGAAGATGGGTTTCTGAAACTGCAGATGATTAAAGTTCCAGATTTTGAAGAAGGGTTACCTGTTTCGCCAGACATATGCAAAAGCCAATGCTTGGATAATTGCTCTTGTATTGCTTAATAATAAATAATAATAATAAATAAAAAATAAGGTATTACAAGCATTGGTTGCAATAAGTTTTGCAGTGGATGAGTATTGGCATGGGTTGAAGTTGAAGCAGCCCCTTGATGAGTTGTTTAAAGAGTGGCACTGGTTTTCCATTACCAGGGTCATTAAGGACAAGGTTACTCCCCTCATCTCATAAAACATTCAAACTCACATCATTCATTATTCATTATACCTTTTCAGCTACAGAAAAAGTTGTACTTGTTGCACTCTTGCACCATAGCCACGTATAACTAACCAACACTTGCTCTCTCTCATCTTATCCTTTTTCTTTATTTTCATTTTGTAGCCTCAGTTTAAGTTTAAGGGGAAGAATGAGTCATAACAGTAACGGGGCAAAGATTAAAAGTAGTAGAATTCTACACCATCTCTATGAGAAGCAGAGACAGAGTCCTTACTATGACAATCTCTGTCGCCCTGTTTCAGATTTGCTTCCATTCATTGCCAATGGAATCAGAGGTGTCACTACCAATCCAGCGGTACTCACATCTTTTCTTCATCTTCTTCTTTTACTTTTATGTTGGATTTTGTTTTATTGTGTATTTCTTTTAATTATTGTACAATCTTCTCACATTGCAGATTTTTGAAAGAGCTATTTCATCCTCAAATGGTTACGATGAGCAGTTGAGGTAGTTTTTAACATTTAGCTATAGATTACTTGTTTCCAAAAATTGAAAAGGAAGTCCTCACTTTTGTTCTTATCTTCTTGCATTTGGAACCCTTTTTCCCCAATAAGTAGACTTAGAACCGTACAAGAAAGCACTAACCAATACTTATATCTAAATGGCATATAAGAAAACATAGTTGTGTTTCATGCATGTTGCTCACTTCACTTAATCGGAAAAGACTTTTATTGTTGTTGTGAACGAAAAGCAAAATTGCTTTTCTTTTTTCTGTTCACGGAAATTGAATTTAATATCATAATTTTAGTTAAAAATTTATTAAAATCACAAAATTATAGTCTCATTTAAGAAGTTTTACTTGTAATTTTATAATTTTTAATATTTTTTTATTAATAATAAAATACATTTTAAAAAAATATTAGAGAGTACAGTATATCACTAACACTCATCATTAATTCCATACACTGAAAATAAAAGTATTAATTTGATTAGCAACCAAACAGGAACTTGGTGGAGGCAGGGAAGGACGTAGAAAGTGGCTACTGGGAAATGGTTGTGAAGGACATACAAGATACTTGCAAACTCTTTGAGCCAATTTACAATGAAAAAGATGGTGTAGATGGTTATGTTTCTGTTGCAGTTTCCCCCAAGATAGCAAATGATACCAAGGGGACAATTGAGGCAGCAAAATGGCTTCATAAAATGGTTGGCTGTCCAAATGTCTATATTAAAATTCCAGCCACTGATGAATCCATTCTTTCAATAAAAGAGGTTATTTCTTCGGGGATAAGTGTAAATGCCACTGTAAGTTTTCTGATGTCACGAAATTTTATCCAGTAGGATGCAATAGCAATATGCTGATAGTTTGTGACTGTGTATTTGAACAGCTCATATTCTGTCTCCCTAAATATGAAGCAGTAATTGATGCTTATTTGGATGGGCTTGAGGCTTGTGGCATGACTGATCTCTTTAAGGTTTCTAGTGCAGCAGCTTTCTACATCAGTAGAGTGGATGTTACAATTGACAAGAAACTTGAGCAAATTGGTACCTCTGAGGCTCTTGAACTCAAAGGAAAGGTGTGAAGCATTTTGTTTTTAACTTTAAGGCCATTTCATTTGAGAAAGTGTTTCTTATTTTAATTTTTTTGTTTTAACTTTTAATTATAAGGCTTAATTGCACCTTTTGTTACCGAAGACGATTTTGTGAATTTTATCACCTAACTTTTAAAATTGTATATTTCATCATCTTGATCATCAAACATTGTTAATTAACTCTTGACATAATACATTTATCATTCACATGTCACATGAATTATTAATGTAACATACAAATGATGTCACATGAATTATTAATGTAACATATAAATGATGTAATATAAAGTATCATGTTGAGTTGTTGACCATCAATGTTAGGTTCAACATGTTGTATCAAGGATAAACATATTATATCAATTTTAATTATTGGTGTCGATCTATCAACTATCAGTGTGACAAAATATGTACAAATTTTAAAATTTGGATGAAAAAAGTGCAAAAAAAAAAATGTCACTTTATTTTCTGGTTACAAAAGTTTGTGCAGGATAGTCAACTCTTATTCTGTTTGGGGGAGGGGAGTCTTGTTCTTTTACTTTTGCCTGAAAATGTTACAATAATTGTTTTAGGGTGCGGTTGCTCAAGCTGTCTTAGCTTACCAACTTTACCAGAAAAAGTTTTCTGGTCCCAGATGGGAACACTTGGAGAAGAGAGGTGCCAAGAAGCAGAGGTTGATGTGGGCTTCAACAAATGTGAAAAATCCATCTTACCCGGACACATTTTATGTTGATTCTCTTATTGGACCAGATACAGTAAGCCATGTTACATTTACTGGATTATCATATGATCTAATATAGATTAATGTTGGTGTGCAAAAAGCTTAAAATTGAGACAATTCATTATTAGGTTGCTTAATTAAATAACCTTGCCTTTATTTGGTGCCTCTATAGATTTCAACCATACCAGAGCAAGCTCTTAATGCATTCATGGACCATGGTATTGTTTCAAGGAGTCTTGATGAACAAGTATCAGAGGCTGAAGACATTTACAATGCAATTGAGAAGTTGGGTATTGATTGGAATGAAGTTGGATCACAACTGGAACGTGAGGTGCTGGATTCTTTCACAAAAAGCTTTCACAATGTGCTTGAATGCATGCAGAAGAAGACCAAGACTGCGGATTTCATCAGCATAAAATTATAAACCGTGCTAAGGTTAACTAGCACAAGCCTAAGCCAAAAATATTTCCCTCCCACCCCCACACCTTTTTTTCTTTCTTTCTTTCTGTGACACTGGTTGCATATGCAGCATGCGCTTGATGCTACCGAAGCTTAGAACTTAGGCGTGTAACTAAAATAATATTGTGAACCAGATGATTAAACATAAAATATATATATATATATATATATATGTTAATATAAATTAGAATAATTATGTTGAATGAGAATGTTTTTGGAAGTTATTATTCAATAATCATATTGAGTGACTCTTGCTTTGATACTAACAAATGTCACTATTTTATGTTTTTGGATATTTCTAATAGTTTTTAGGAGAGTAGTTTATTTATTTATTATAAATATGGTCTTGATAGTATTCTAAAATTAATAATTAAAAATTAATTATTATTTGTGAAAAAATATTTTTATTGATCAAATATTATTTTAATATCGACATAAATTAATTTTAGAAGTCCCTTTAGATTTGAGAGGTTTGGTTTTTTTATTTATATATTATTTTCAGTAAAAAAAAAGTCATTTTGTTCATAAAAAAGGTAAGATCAATAAAAAAAAAATTCCAATTCATCGCATAGTTTACTAACTTATTCTAGAAATGTTATTGATTTAATCAAAGAGAATAATTTTTTTTTCAACAGCAACACATTGTTTGTTATAAATGAAATATTAATTTGATTCCTCAAGCATTACTTTTTCTCTTAAATAATCATTAAAATAATAAAATAACATAAATAGCTCATAAAATGTTAATTTTTTTTTAATTTAGCTCCTAATATACTTTACTAAATACTAATGTTGGAGAATTAATTTAAAAGATTTTTCAATGCTTAAAGAAATATATAATATAACTTTTAAAATCCTAAAAACTATTTATATAACTTCTTTACTTCAAATATTGTTTAAGAGAGAATAATATTTTAAGATATCAGTAAAACTAGTCTTAAATCTCTTAAAATATAATGTAAAAGAAATATTTAAATTTTAGTAGCCGATCATATTTTTGGGAGTACATTGAAAGAGATATCAATTGAGAAGAAAAAAAAAGTAGGCGAAGAAGTTGGAGAGGGCAGAACTTTATAAAGTCGATATTGTGAGTAATCTGTTAAATATTTAACACGACCAATAGTATAATAAAAACATAAAAATAAAACAAGAGTGAGAAATTAGATGCCACGTAGGACGGGGACACGTTTGCACATGTTTGTTTCACAGCCATTTCTTTCATTCTTCTCTTATCTTCTTCTTCTTCTTCTTCTTCTTCTTCTTCTTCTCTGTGTGTGTGTGTGTGTGATCCTGAACATTGAACACAGAGATGGCCTTGCAGGCACCGAGCCTTACCGTCAATGCCGGTCTCCGACGACCCTTGATGAACCCTTTTGCTCTAAAGTCAACCTTCTTCTCTGGTTCCTTCAACTTCAACCTTCACCTTCACCCTATTACTTCCGCACCCCCCAGGATTTCCATGCGCGTCGCTTCCAAACAGGCCTATATCTGTCGCGATTGCGGGTTAGTACCCTTTCATTTAACACCATTAAGCTATTTCTTTTTTTGTGTGCTGCAATTTTATGTTAATTCATCCATGCAGGTATATTTACAACGACAGGACTCCCTTTGACAAGTTGCCTGATAACTACTTCTGCCCTGGTAACCATGTTTGGATTCACGTTACATTCAAATACTAGATAATATAATTTTAACTAAATCTTCGTATTTTATTTGTGAGTCTAAATAGTTTTAGATAACTTTTGCATTAAATAAAAGCATTTTATACTAAGTTTTACTAATAATAGCTTGCTTTTAGAATAAAAAATCTAGCCATAAATCACATCTCGTTGAAGTCAATTGTAAACACTCACTCAAACACACACTTACTGATGATAAGATAGAAACATGAGGTTTTGGAATGGTTAATGATTAGGCAGCTCTTGTTAGAACCTGGTAGAAGCAAAAGAATTGAAACAAGTGCATTATCATTGCTATTGCCATTAATGACTAGTGTTTTGCAGTTTGTGGTGCTCCAAAAAGAAGATTTAGGTCATATGCACCGGCTGTCACAAGAGATGCCAATGACACATCTGTTAGAAAGGCACGAAAAGCAGAATTGCAGAGAGATGAAGCAATTGGGTGAGCCATAAATCTTTATCTGTTTCTATGTCTGTCATTATATCTCCTACCATTGTTTTGGCATTAACATTATGAAATAAAATTTCCACAGGAAGGCACTTCCTATTGCAATTGTCGTGGGAATTGCAGTGCTTGCTGGATTATATTTCTATCTCAACAACCAATACTAGGCTGAATGAGTGTTCCATTGCATGCCCTTTAATAAGGGGTGTAGTTTATTCCCGATCTTTCATTTTCTTTTGTTCATTCTGTTCTAAGCGCTCAGAATGGCCATACAATAAATGGTACAATTATTTTGAGAGAGAAGAATGGTCATGTTTAATTGTTTATCAACCCTGGCGGGTGAAGAATGCAATGTAGTTATAGAGGGGATAATTTGTATTTACTTTGTTGCCATTAAACTTGATAAGAAGCATCTTATATTTTCAACAATGTCATCAAAATGAAAGGTAGCAGAATTTTCTAAGAAAATGATGTCAAGATTGAAAGTTGAACGATAATGCAGTTATAATTAAACAACAGTTTGGAGTTTGTAAACGAGTATCCACTACAACAAGATCAATTGAAATATTGAGATTTAAGTATTGCAGGGGAAATTGAACATGCTAAATGAAAACAAACTATAATTAACTTAGACAGAAACAAATTGTATATGAATCCTACCCCCCCAAAAAAAAGAGGGAGATTGTATCTGAAATTAGAGGTAAAGAGGATAGGTAATGGGTAAGAGGATGAAACTAAGAATGCCAAACTGCATATGACATTGGAGACAGAAAATAAGAAACAACCCACACTACACATCAAGGAGAGCCAAATTGCGTTGTAAAATCGAAAGGCAAGACCAAGCAAATTAAAGACAAGTTACACTGCATCAAGGATCAAAGATAGAACAAATAAAAGATAGATTAGACCATACACCAGCGAGGGTAGGATGGTTGGACTGAATTTGGGATTAAAGACAAATTGAGTACAAGAATGGCCAAACTACACATCTATGAGGGCCTAATTGTGTCTTTCAAGAATCAATGATGGAGAGTATCTATGTAGAATTGGAAAGGATGGCTAATTAATGAAAGAGAACATGCTGGAAACAACCAATTTGCAAAAAGATAGATCAAAATGGAGGCAAGAAGCTGGAACGACGGTAAAGACATGCTTGAGACTAAAATCTAAAAAGGAAAAAAGTCATAGATGGAAAATTGAGAGCAAATAAAAACACTCGAGTTTGGGGGTAATGGAGTTCCATAAAATCAACCTACTGAACAGAATATACATTCAAGGAAGGTACCTCGGCTGTGACAAGGCCAAAGGAAAAATAATAGATGTGTTACACACAAGATAAAACGATAATCTTGATTTATATTAACATTAAAACATACTCATAACTAAATAAAGAAATAAATTATAAAAGAGCAATTACATTCATACATCTCTTCCATCTTATTTCCACCACATTTTTTTTATCTCTCTTATTTTCTTACCATACGTGTTACTTTCTCTCTTTAAAACATAAAGAACATACTCCATTGTCACGATTAGTTAGAATATGAAGAACGCGGTATCTCTCTCATTAACATCCCATGAGAAGAAGCATCTTGTGAATCTAAGAGGGCCGTACTCGTTTCGTTAAAACAGTAGACAGGAGCCTGCCAGTTTTCATCCTCCAGCACCGCACCAACCTCAAATGTCATCACATGAGCAACCATCCCTACACCCACCATAACAATAAGGAATGAATGCTACACTCATTATTCATAATTAAATTAAACACCATCCTAAGAAATGTAAGCATTGTGCATGCATGTAAGATGATTGTTCACCAATTATATATATCCTATTTTAATCATGTCACTCCTAGATGTGAGAATCTCCAACACTTCTAAGTGTTGGAATTGGCCACCTGGAATGTGAAGTCTGTTAGAATAAACATTTGTAGAGTCATAATCTGCAAGTGATTTGATATGAGACCAGGTGGCTTGTAGGCCCAATTCCAATCACTAGAATGAATTTTAATACTATTATATGGGTTTTGGAACTTTTTTATTTTTTGATAAACAAAAGAGATTTAAATTAAAGGAAGTATAAGGGGTACTCTAACCCGTTACAAGAGACACAGACATAATTAGAATTCAAAACCAAAGCAGAAGTTATGAGAAACACAAACCCGAGTTATAATACCAACTAATGTAACTAAAAGAACAACTAGGGACAGAACTAGTAATCCACTTCTATGAATGAAGTTTAATACTGTCCAACACTTCCTTGCAATCCGTAACACCTTACTAAAAGATAATAACATTCCGATGAAGCCATAGTGACCAGATAACAAAAACCCAAACCACTAGAAAACACTGAGAACGTTTTTTATGTATACCAAAATTCGTCCAATATAAATAAAGAGAAATTAACGAATTAGGAAGAACCACCGCAACATCCAACCAATTAGCAACAGCTAACCAAGTATTAAAAGTCATAGGGTACATTAGAAAGAGATGAAGAGGGTCTTCGACAAACAAAGAGCAAAAAGAACATAAATTGTTATCCAACTCCACATCACGTACTTGTAACAATGATTTGCACGGAAACACATTCATGAACACCTGCCAACAGAACACCAAACACTTGATCGGAGCCTTGCATTTCCAAAGACTTTTTATAAATAGATGAAAATCTAAAGAATATCTGAGTTCTCCACCCAGCAAGCGCTGCAGCCAAAGGTACATACTTTTCACCGAGAATACACCGTCCTTATCACAAATCCATCTCCAATAATCTTGCTTAGAAGAGAAAATCTGCAAACCCTGAAGCAATTTCAACAAGGTATTCACACTCCTAACTTCATGGACAAAAGGTTCTCTTTTCCAATTAACCTGTCACACCCACCTAGATCCCTCCCAAGTTCCATTATGTGCCACCACTGACAATGGATCAAAGGCAAAGGAGTACAAAGAAGGAAAGACATCCAACAAGCGCAAACCACCTATCCACTTATCTTCCCAAAATCGGGTCATAGTGTCATCGCCAATACAACGCTCAATCTTTTCATCCAACCAAAAATTTCCTTGTTGTAGCACCCACACTATATCCTTCCATCACCAAGAAGCCCTCCTATCCACATTTGAACAATTAGAAAAGGACTCAATGCGCCCATACCTACCATGAAGAACTTTAGCCCACAACATACCTGGAGAGAGCATGCACCTCCACACCCATTTCCCTAGCAGTGCCCAATTGAACAATTTGACATTCTTGATTCTTAGTTCACCCTCAACCTTTGACTTACACACCGTTTCCATTTTACCCAAGGAATCTTTGAGCCATCCTTGACACCTCTCCACAAGAAATCACGTTAAATGGCCACAATTTCCTTAATCACTGAGTTCGGTACTTTAAAAAATGACAGAAAATGGATGGGCATAGCATTCAAAACCGAATTAATTAAGGTCATCCTCCCCCCAATGGACAAATGCCTATGCTTCCAAGAGGATAGACGCTTGCGTAAGCCATCAAGCATTGATTTCCAAGTAGACAACTTCCTAGGATTTGCACCAAGAGGTAAGCCCAAATGCTTAAACGGTAGTTGACCCACCTTACAATGTAAAAAAGAAGCCGCCAAATCAATGAAATCTACCCCTGAATGAATGTCAACCACGCAAATCATGTGAAAATTAATTTTCATACCTGAAATTAACTCAAAACAGCGCAAGATGTCCTTTAAACACCACAGATTTTGCATAGTAACTTCTCCAATGATCAAAGTATCATCAGCGAACTGCAAAAGAGAAATCGTCAGACCTTCACCACCCAAGTGTAATGTCGTAAATAGATTCATATCTAAAGCCCTAGTCATCAACAATCTGAGACTTTCTGCAGCAATTAGGAACAAAGATGGTGCTAATGGATCACCCTGCTTTAATCCCCTACCAATAGCTACGTCCGTCGTAGGACTCCCATTCACTAGGGCTGATAGACTACCCCCACATACACAACCTTCCATCCACCGGACCCATCTCTCATCAAAAACACACCCTCGGAGCATGAACAACAAGTAATCCCATTCCACAGAGTCATATGCCTTCTCATAATCAATCTTCATAACAAAAACCGGCTTCTTATATTTTTTAGCATAATCAATAGCCTCGGCAGCAACTAGAACACTATCTAACATATGTCTACCAGGAATAAAAGCAGACTAATTCTCTGCGATAATTGATGGAAGAATACCACGTAATCTATTCACCAATACCTTAGAAATAATTTTATACAAGCACCCAAGCAACGAAATAGGACAAAAATTAGTCATACCTTGAGGGCAGGGAACTTTGGGGACCAAAGCCACAAAATAAGACAAAAGAGCCTTTGGAACCTTCAAGTTAGTATGAAACTCAGCAAGCAAATCCATCACATCCACCGTCATAAGAGGCCAAAATCTCTTCAAGAAAGCAAAATTAAACCCATCAGTTCCTGGGCTTTTGTCACCATCACTCTCCTTAATCAAACAACACACCTCCTCCTCAGTAAAGTCACCAACCAACCTTGCATTTTGTGCATTAGACAACACAGGAAAACCAGTAAGTGACACTCGCGGGCTAAGCCAACTTCTGGCTTTGAAATGCTCCTCAAAATATGAACTCACCACCTCTTTAATCTCATAAACCTCCTCTACCATATGCTCACCTATCTTCAAAGCAATAATCTGGTTACATCGCTGCCTTCCCCTGATAGCATGAAAGTATTTGAAATTTAAATCACCATATTTACTCCCAACGAACTCGCGCCTTTTGAGCTAACAAGTTTATTTTGTTCCTCCGAGTATACCAAATACCATCCACTAGCTTAGTTTGGAACTTACTAAACCTTATGAATCTAAATTCTGAGATCAGAGTTACTAAGATGAGACTTGTTCATCATTTATATATTATATTTTGAATACCAAAGAAACAAGATAATAAAAATTAGACTTAACCAGAATACAAACTAAAAAATGCTTTTGGGATCTTGTCTACTGAAAAGTACTTCTTATTTTTGATAAAGAAACTTTCAAAATTACTTGTAACGTGCACGGAAACAAGTAACTAACCGGAGTAGAAGATCCACTTGACGGGTCTGCGAGTGAGGACATCCTCGTAGTACCAGATGAAGTCAACTTTCTCCCAGACATTGCAGAGGAAATTGTCGACGTACTCCTGGCCTAGGTAGGTGGCACCGTGGAGCCAATCAGGACGGAGAATGCCGACCTCGAAATGGATAATTTTGCAGGTTTTGTCGAAGGGTTGGAGGGTGTAGTAAAAGGATGTGCCATTGTCCCACTCGAGGTCGTACTTGAGGACACCGAGTTGGTGTTGGATGATGTTGAAGTTGCGGCCGTTGGGCCAGTCGTACCATAGGTCCGTTTTCTGGAGAGACCCGCTTCGGTTGATGAACAGCACTGAGTGGAACTGCTCCGGCCAATCGGCGGGAACGGGATCTTCCGCCATGGATGAGGAATGTTGAACAAAGAGGAATAATAATAACAAGAACAAATCAATGCTTACTTCTCTCGCAGAGGCCATTGCTAAGAAGATAAGAATTAAGGAATGTGCCTGTCACTGTGACTTTGAGGTCCAACTTCATTGCCCGCCATAAATATACAATCTCGCGGTCCACGCTCGCAAACCCAAAATAACCTATTTTTATATTTATATATACCATTTTTTTTAATCTTTATTAGTGTATACCAGGAGTTTGGAATGTAGAAGTTATTTCAAATAAATTTTACTTTTTTCAACAATTTTTTTCTCTAACAAAAGATTAAAATTCAGATTATCTCCACATGACTCGATTATCTAATAAATGCCCTCTGATTTATTAGTTTTTTAATAATTTTTTTTACCTTACTTCAAGTCTAATCCGAAAGCTAATCTTATAACTTGTAAAAAAAAATCTAACCAAACCAAACACCCACGAGCAACCACCTTCGACTCAAAACAAAGTTGGCACCTTCCCTTTTCACTTTTAATTTCCAACAAAGTTTCGCCATGAGGTTGTAACTGGTATCATATAGGTGGGTTCTGTAGGTGTGATATGTTTTACGTTTTCCAACATTTCGATGCAACATAATGTGACCGAGAGAAAGTGTTGGATTAGCATTGGAATTGTGTTTTGATTAACATTTCAAAACTTCTCTCAAAAATTAGCAATTTTCAAAGCAATAAACGGAAAAAGAAAAAACAAACCACTTTTCATCATTGAAGCTAACTTAGGTTATGTTGAATTTAACATTTCTCTATACAAAACGTGAACGTATGATACCCTTTGTTTTATTAGTGTAGCTTATCTGATTGTTTTCTCTCTCAATATAACAAACCAATTCTGTAGTAGTATACAATATTAACATATAAAGGAACTAAAACCGTAAAAGTGTTCAAAATATATTGAACAAAGAAAGTACCAAACAATGAGACACATAGTTAGAAAGTTAGAGTGGAAAAAGAATAATCAAGAATCAGGCATTTCAAGCCACTCACAATCGGTATACAATGCGAATGCAGAAGGTTCAAAGAAAGTCGATCACATTCTTCTAGTTTTCACTTTTCACCCATTTATTGATCTCTAGGGGCTAATACAAACCTTTATGTTGCAGTTACCCAGCCCTTATTTATAGTGAAAAATATGGTAGACAAGATGTTTTTTTTTTTTCATTGTAACAAATAAAAAGATTGTTTATTCTCAAGCTACTGATCGAAATTTCTTAATATCATCCCAGCCTCTCACCCATGGTTGGCCAGGTGTTGCTCTTGTTTCAGGAGCAGAATGACCCTCAAGATTGTTCGTAACTCCTTCTCGCACTGCAGCAAAGACCTATGCAACAAACAACGGACATGAGATTTGTAACCCTCAAAGAAAAACAAAATCCAAAGAAATAGCCAAATCGCAATTTCATCATTGAAATAATGAAATGAGACTCACTGGGTTGATGCTGATTGATTCTGGGGGTTGCTCTTGCCCAGATATCCACTTCCATAAATCTGGAATAGGATTTTGATTTTTGAAGTGACATGAACACAAATCAACGGATCTGTCTCTCAAAGTTAAGCTACTAGTTGCTTTCTCATTTCCATTTTTATCAGAACTTGCAAAGTAAATCCTCCAACAAAATCATCAAATGACCTATATTTGTCAATAACGTTTTCAATTTACTGCCAACATCTAATTGCTCATAAAAAGTGTACAAAGTAGTTAAGTTCCAGAGACACTAAATAAATTAGTCTCGGTTACTGTTTAGATAAAGTTCAATAAAAGCACTTATAGAAGATAAAATGAATAGAGTTTCTTGCATAGGTTAAAATCAACTTGTGCACTTAACTTTTATAAAAACTCTTTCCATTTAACTTGTCGAAAAAGTAAGGTGGATAAAAGGATTTTAACTTATGGAGAAGTTCAATGTATCATATTTTGTTTCTTTTTACTCTTAAAGGTGCTTCTGAAAAAGTTTAACCAAATAGAGTCTAATAATCTCTTCAACTTCTTTTGGATTAATCTCATGAATTAGCAATATGCCAATTATTGTACTAATAAGCTAAAATTTGGAAACATAAAAAGGCCCTCTTAAAGGAGTTACATCAAAAGTTAACAGGAAAAGTAGCCGAACTAAAATCTGAATTTGGACATGGAGTTATAAGGTGATCCTCTTAAACCAGGTAGATAAAAAAAAATAAAAAAATAAAAACTTTTACTGTACTGTATTGTTCTCCTATATTTGGGGTTTGACAAGATTGGAGTGATAAAAACAAACTTGCTTAACTGATCAAAGTGGAAGTAAGGTCCCTAGCAATGAAACACCAAAAGAAACTAAGCACTCTGATTGATCATAGTTTTTATTGAAATATGGCAGTCTAAGAAGCAAATCCAAATAGTCAAATAGCAAAGAGATTGAGATTGAGAAGGGGAACCTGTTGAACAAGCGTCTTTTGGTTTCTTCGTCGGATAAATCGAGGGAGAGGGAGTTACCAGTGAAAGGGGCCTGGGAAACGCTACAATCACGTTGGAAAGAAAAAGAAGAGAAGAGAAGAGGTGAAAAATAAGTACCTGAAAGTGATAACGGGATGCGGAGCCTTCCTCATTTGTTTGTATTAAAAGGCCTAATAAACTTAATTCACTTCAGAAACAATGATAAATACATTCCTAATATCTTACCCTACACAGTTTCTTTTGAGCATCAATTGTACCCTTTGTTATAGATAATTCTGTCTCCTCTTTTTCTTAATTATAATGTAAAAAAAGAAAATAGAAAAAGGTTCCCTGCCTGACATCGCAAATTGATTGATAGGGGAAAGAAGAACTGTTTCCTCTTTTGCTCTATTTGTAACATGCATTAATGAATTTAGCAACTGGAAGATAGCACAGTTAAAGTAACAATTAAGAAACATGCAGTAACTTCCTTTCCTCGGTAAATATCTAACAAAAGAATGAAGTGGTGACTTAAAATAATAACATTGAAGACGTAGGGTGGTATTAAGAGTTCCAAGTGAATCTTTTGTTTGGGTAACCTATGAATCTATCATTCTCAATCTGAAAACATGGAACATGAAGCAGATGAAGTTGGTTCCAAATTGACACATCAATCAAAAGTTAATTTCCCGTCTCTCTGCAAAGAACTTGCCCGAGATAGCTTGGTCAGGAAGAAGGGAAAGCCAGACACCAGTATCAGCACCATCCTCAACTGAGATACTTCCTGCATAGCCTGTGAGAGCGGTTTTCACCCAACCGGGGCAATAGCTGTTGATGTAAATCTTTTCACCATCGGGCCTCTCAGAAAACTTTTTTGCTATGAACCTTGTGTAAGCATTCACTGCTAGCTTTGACACTGAGTAGTCAGTGAACGATGGAGGCCACCCTCCTGATTCCCAACTTCCATCTTCCACTTGTTGCAGAAAAGTTGACACCATACCATCTATCACTTCCTCTGTCAGGGATTCCACATCACTTAGTTGCTCCCTCAATGATTCATTCTCCAATCTCTGCACGTATAACTTACAATCTTACATTCATTTTTGAGTAAACACTCTTTTTACTGATTGTGTAAATCATCTAATTACAAATCTGTATATGTTCACTTTTACGATTAACTATTTTACAAAGACTTTAATGGTCATATACTCTGAATCAGAAATCATTCTTTATATAACTTTTAAGATAGTTATTATAAAAGTCAACAAACTTACATTACATAATTTATGAAGGGAAACAGTAAGCTTATAGTGTATCCCTAGTGAATGGATATTGGATTAACTATATTTAGTCATGAATGAATACAAATTTATATTCAGAAAACATCATATTTTTTACTTACATTTCGTTTGCCGTTTAGTCGACCTAGACGCGAGCTCAAATTTACAATACGTCCACCAGGAGAGGATGGCTTCATCAATGGAACCATCGCTTGAATCATACGTTTGGTACCATAATAATTTGTTTCAATGACCAAACTAGCATTTTCAACGGAATTATCAGACCCCAGATTGAAATTAACACCGGCGTTGTTTACCTGCAGACATATCATATTACTGCTTAATTCATGCATGTTACCTTGAACATAAGTTCCTAACAAGTAGCTATGTGTGTGCTTTAGAAACTTACGAGAATATCCAAGCCACCATAATTCTCCTTCAACCACTCACAAAATTGGTTGATTGAAGAATTATCTAGAATATCAAGTTGATGACATGCCACCTCCTGCAGACCACCCTCTTGCAAGACCTTAATCGATTCAACGCCAACACTAGCATCTCTTGATGTTAGTATTACTGTTACTCCATGATCAGCAAGTTGTCTAGAGATCTCGAACCCAATTCCTCTGTTTCCTCCCGTGACCACGGCAATTGTTTCCTTAGACCACCACCTATGCATAAGCACAACATTAAACGCCATCTCTAGTTCCATGAATTAAAGGTTGTTGTCGTTTGTTTTCATATTTAAATCCTTACCTAATTAGCTAATAATCATTAGGATTTGCCTTGACCAATGACTAGTTTTGAGTTTTGACAATTAATGTGTTGTTACGATATGTAATGGACTCGATCTCCTTAAATAAAATTGTGATTTAGATGAGATACATTAAAGTGATCAATCAAATTTTCTACCGGTAGATTTTTCATTTCAATAAATTAAACAATATGCAGTTATTTCACTGTTGCAATCGGTGGCATTCTATGATCAAAGGGCTATCCTTATGAGGAGAAAGGAAAACTAGATGAAAATAAAAATGAGAGAATATGAACCTATGAGAGAGTAAATAGGTAGAAAATGCAACCTCTGGTGATCAGCATATGGAATGGTCCTGAGAAGAGATATCTCTTGCAATCTTTTCTCTTTCCGCTCTTTGGATTTTGCTTTGTGCCCCATGACTTTCTACCTATGTTGATTCGGCACCAATTTGAACTGGGAAAGCTGAATTGCTAGGAGCTTTGGGGTATTGAAGTTGAAAGAGATGAGATTGTATGACACAGCCAGACACAGACACGAGATGCAAAGGAGCAAAATGGGTGGCAATGCATGCATGCCACGTTGTTGGTCTAAGCATGTATGTTGGCCTTTCGGTCAAATGTGTAGAACTAGACTTCAGGCAAAAGATCAACCAACTTTTGTTTTTGTTCCGACGACTTTTAACGCAAAATTAATTCCTCTATGTTGAACCAAGGTAGCGAACACCTGCAAGTTGCACCAAAACAATTTTTGTTATTACTTAGATGTTATGCGAACAACAATAGTAGTAATGCATCAGTACTCTACAAGATTGAAGAATGCATCATGCATGCCTTCTTAATTTCTTTTATATATATATATATATATATATATATATATGAGGAGGGTTATAATTACACCAGTGTAATTTTTACTTAGTATTACATCACTCAATAACTTTATATTAATTGTGAATTTTGTAAATATAACTGTTAGATTGAAAATTCATATCACTTTATATGTGTATATCAAATTTTGTTAAAATTAAACAACTTGAAGGTAATCAAAGTGTTCATATTTTAGTATATTTTGAAATGAATATATTACGTCAATTTTGTTTTATAAGAATGAAGTATCAAATCATCTTGCATTGATATAAAATTTTGTATATATGATCTAAAAGTAAAGAACTTTCGATCTAACGGTTGGATTTACAAATTTTATATTTAATATAAAATTATTGAATGGTGTAATACTTAGTAAAAATTACATTATATGATTATAACCCTCCTATATACCACTTTTCATCATTGAAGCTAA